ACTTCCTCCCTTCCCCCACCCTCGCGTGTCCACTGTTGTCCATTGCAGGCTCTCCCTGAATTCCCCCTTCTTGAGCTGCTGTTAAACGAGGTGACTGCCTTGAAATCCAGTCAGGCGTTTACTGTTCTACACAGCAGCAATAAGTCTCACATCTTCATCAACGTCATCAGTAGATATGGTGAGAAAACTGGGAATTCTTAAAGGGAGGAAGTAGCTAAAAGAGGGAGTTTTTTCCAAAATTTAAAAATGAGAAAAATCATTATAATGGAGGTATTTGGATCTCTGTATGATGATATGCTAGACAATTTAAAAACAGAATGATTAAATGAGAGGATATCTAATTTAAATGGATTTATGTAATGTCAGTTGTAAACATCAGCATTGTCATTTTTGTCTTATCCCTAGGAGTTGGTTAATTTGAGTTCTAAGATAGAGGCCTTAGAAAAACACAATGAAACAGATTACAGAGATATTCAAATCCAGACAGAAGAATTTAATAGAGAGCCAATTTCAGCTTTGCATAATAACAATAGAGAAGAATAGCCTAAGGTTTTCAGGCAACCAACCTTAATATATCCAGTAGCCTTACAGGAATTGGCAAAAGGCAGAGATTCTGTTACAGCTAACTGAACTCCTGTGCCAGTGTTAGATTTAAGAAAGCAATAGTCTCATATGGCCTGTGTTCACCTTTTGTAAGCAAATGTTAAACTCGTGGTCAGTTTGTAATAGAATTATCCCTAATGACAAGATAGATTTGGTTAAAGGTGTTTTAGAGCCTGGCCCACAAGGACAATAGAGTGCCTGGTTCTGAGAAGAGGCTAAGATTATTGAACAATGGAGTAAAGCTAGAGGTAGGGAAATCACCCAAAATCAAATTCTTGGGGAAGGAGAATATGTTACTATAGAAAGGCAAGCTGTATATGATGACCACACCTTGGATTTATGCCATGGAACAGCTTTGAATGCTTGGGACAGAACTGGAGAAATAGGAAAGAAAATTGAGTCCTTTACTAAAGTTATACAGGGCCCAATGGAAGCCTTTATGGATTTCTTACAAAGATTGACTTCAGCAGTAAATAGAATGATTCAGAATCTAAACAAATAACAATTGAATCTCTAGCTTTTGAAAATGACAGTTCTCTATGCAAAAGGATAATTAGGGCATTAAAACAAAGTCAGCACCTTTGGAGAAATGGATCTGAGATACAATTAACATTGAACATGATGATATATGGATAGGAGAGATGATTTTTAGAGGTTTGAGGAAAAATCAAAATGTCGAATATTATAATTGTGGCAAACAAGGTTACCTTAAAATAGATTGTAGACAGGGCATTCTGGGAGGGGCCTCTCACAGACCCCTGTTCCAAATCCAGTTCAGTTTTTCCCTGCCATCATAGAGGAAACTCCTTCCCAGAGCAATAAATGAACCTAATATTTATTGTAAGAAACCATACTGCTCTGGATAATGGAACAGCCATAGAAGAGAGAGCAAATAAGTCAGGAGAAATTATAAAATGAGTATTTTGGAAAATTTCTATAAATGAACAAAGACCAAAATTAAAAATATGAGTGAATGATGCTGTCATTGAAGGTCTGGTAGACACCGGTGTGAATGTAACAATAATTTCATCAGAATCTTGACACTCAAATTGGCCTCTGCAGGATGTAAATGTTCAGTTTTTAGGGACTGGAACTTTATCTTGGGTAAAGCAGAGTGTGAGATGGGTCGAATGTATAGGGCCAGAAGGACAGAAAGGAATGTCAGAACCATATGTGGCTAACATAACAATGAATTTGTGGGAATGTGATTTGTTACAGCAATGGAGTACTCAGATTAACATTCCCCCAATTAACAAACCATAAATTAATGTATGTTTCTGGGAAAAATTTTAGAAGATTTTCTAAAGAACAGCCATTGACCATTCAGGTTGTACAAGAACTGGACACAACAGTTGCTTATATTTCAAAGGCACCAACAGCCCTGCCTTTAAAATTGACAGGCAAACCTGTATGGGTTAAGCAATAGTCTTTAAAAACAGAGAAACTGCAGATTTTAGACAGTTAGTACAGAGGCAACTAGATCTCAACATGTTGGAGAAACAACCAGACCTTGAAATTCTTCTGTATTTATTGTTAAAAAGAAATCTGGAAAATGGAGAATGGTAGCAGATATAAGAGCTGTTAATAAGGTGGTTCAGCCAGTGGTTTCTCTGCAGTCTGGCATTCCTTTGTCTTCTCTATTACCTAAATTTCATAGTTATTGATTTAAAAAATTGTTTCTTCATTATTCCTATATAAGAAAAAGACAGAAAAATTTGCCTTCACAGTGCCTACTTATAATAATTCTCAATCTGCTAAATGATATCAATGGAAGGTTCTCCCATAGGGAATGTTAAATAGCCTCACCCTGTGTCAATAATTTGTAAATCAGCCATTGGAAATGATGTATAAACAATTTCCTAAATCTATGGTAACCATTATGTGGATTATATTTTACTGATTCAAATGTAGATACTTTAGAAAGAATGTTTGAAGAAGTAAACAAAATTTTGTCTTGTTGTGGATTACAAATTGCTCCTGAAAAAATACAAAGAGGAGATTCTACTAATTACTTAGGCTACAAAATAGGTTTGCAAAAAATTAGACCACAAAAGATGCAAATTATGAGAGACTGATTGAAGACTTTAATGACTTCCAAAGATTCTTAGGAGACATTTCCCATCTATGGTGCATTATTGGGATAGGTCCTGATGACCTGATTAATGTAAACAAAATCTTAGATGGCAACAGGACTTAAACAGTCCAAGGGAATTATTAGTGGAAGCTGAGAGAGAATTGACCTTGATTGAAGAGAAATTACAGAAGGTGCACATGGATCATGTGGATCCTAATCTTAACTGTATTCTGGTCATATTATCCTCCAAACATTCCCCTACAGGAATTTTAATGCAGAGGGAAGATATTATCTTAGAATGGATCTTTTTTACCACATAAACTGCGTAAAAACTTAAAAACTTATGTGGAAAAGGTTTCTGAGTTAATTCTAAAGAGAAAATTGAGATTTCATCAATTTGCAGGAATAGAGTCAGCAGAAATTAGAGTACCTTTTAATAATTACAAAATTGACAAATTATGGGAAGAACGAGAACCCTGGCAAAGAGCTTGTAGTGATTTTTTTGGGAGAGACTATGACTTATAAAGAGAACTGATTGAACCCTTCCTCTCATTATATGACAACTACCAATAACTGGAGCACCTACATTCTATATTGATACAATTAAATCAAGAAAGGCAGGTTACAAATTAGAAAATTTAAGTAAAGTAGATCAAAGCCCTTATGATTTTGTCATAGGTGCTGAGAGAGCAAGCATCAGATTTCTTCAGGATTGTAGCCCTGGGTAGGTTGTCCATGCTCCAGCAGGTGGCCCTACACCCATGCACATACAGGCAGAACTGACTGGACTTGGTGGCACTGCAAGTGAGAGAGGAGGAACTGGGGGTGGATTTGGAGGAAACACATCGCACATATATGTAGGAGGCGCAGGAGTCCTTGTGCTCACAGATAAGGCCTCTGAGGACCAGGAATGCAAAACATAAAGTGTTGTCTCTTCATGGGGAGAGATGTATAACTTGTTCCCCACCCAGAAGGCCAGAAGTGGATGTGGTTAGTAGCCTGGTGACCTTTGCACTATCTGTGTGACTGAGGCCACATAGGATCCTCCCCCTAGACCCTTGTCATGAGTCTGTCTTTCTCAGTCAATCTATAGAGTCTATCTTTATGGAAGATGTCACACATATTTTACAAAGAGTCTTAACATAGTCATGCCTTAAGTTTTCTTGTGCACACAGGATTGAGTTATTTATCAACAGGATTTTTTTTAACAAATTGTGCTGTGCTTAACTATACCTAAAATAAACTGCCCGGCATCAGACTCCCAAAGTTTGAACCAACACCAGCTACTCAATCATGTTGAACCAAACTACCTTCTTGCCTCCTATGGATAATTACTCTGCTGGCCATGGTGGTGACAGAGACCCTGGCACACATCCATGAAATCCTCAAAGAATAAATAAAAGCATATTTAAAAGAGAAAGAGCAGGCCTGGCTCCTACTTGTTCTGGCTTCAGTCTCAATGTGCTGTCTTCTTCCCACCGTGCTCCCTCCACCGTGACAGCCCCTGTCCTCGTCAGGGTCCAGACAGTCAAGCCCATTCCCTAGAACCTCTAGAATTATGAGCAATAAGTTTGTTTTTATTGTCAAAGTTACCCAGCCTAGACCTTTTGTTACAGCGATGAAAACTGTAGTCATATACTCATCCAGAGCACTTCTCTACTCCAACTTTCTTTAAAACCTACATGCATCTTATCCCCATCTAGAATTAAGCTTCTCCACATGTTCCCCATTTAGGGAGGGTGTCTCTTTCATTTCCATAGATCAATGAGTCAGAAGACAATTCATCCTCATAGGTAAAGCCCAGTTTATTCATAAATGACAGTCAGTACAATATGCACTATAGCTCACCATAAGGTGCACAGCACAGGCTTGGGAGAAGCCACTTCACAATAAATTAGAGGAGCTGGGACAGCGTCCGGGATCGTTCAAAAGCCACGCACTGCCATAAATACCATAGCTGCCAACTCGGCTGTGTCAGGTGGAATCAGAGAGCCGAGACCTCAGCAGCTGCTGAGAGCAACTCAAACCCTGACTCTTCCGGTGAGGATCCAGCCCAGAAGAGAGGACACCTTCCACATCAGCAATCTCCAAGAAGAGACCCTCACTTTAGATAATTATGGGAGCTTTCCACATCTCTCTCCTCTTCAGAGTTAGCTGTTGACCACTGAGGGGTCGGGAGAGAGAGAGAGCTCGCAGTGGGTTGTGTATCCCTAGTCAGACAAGGCACTTAGTGTCAATCTGCAGAAGCCTTTCAATGATTCTTCACAATCCAGGCTAAGAAGATTTCTAGCTCTCCCAGAGACTTAAGGGCAGCAGATGAGACCTCCAGCTAAAACCAAAAAAATAAAAAATAAAATTTAAAAACGGCATCATGTGTATAATTCACATAACCCATTTGTGCCTTCCATTCCCCCGATTTATCCAATGCAGTTTTCACTTGGAGCCTTGATGCGGAGAGTCATGTGACACCTCCTTAGTGGTCTTGGAACAATATCTGGCTCCAGTACAAACCACTTGAATCTTGACTCTCCCTCCAGCAATAAGGCTGTCCTCCCAAAAGCCGAGCCCCGAAACAGTCCTAACTTCTTCTCCCTTCAGTGCACTGGCATCATTTGAGAGGGTTGAGAATGAGGAACTTCGGTCACACGCCAGAACTACTGTACCTCAATCAAATCTGTAGATGACATACCCTAGTAACTCTCCTGCATCAACACCCATGTGAGAAGTACTGAGTGTGGCACTAGTCAGGGTGCCAAGGGCCAGGTCCTGACCACAAGAACATTGTATGTGTTATGTTTCGTGGGTAACAGTTTCAGATTTACTGGGAACCGTTGCTCCCCCTGTATGATCATATCTTACACAGGCCAGGCCTGATGTGAAGGTGTAAGAACACAGTAGAGGAAGGATGGAGGAGAGGACCCGGGAATTGCCCAATGACCTACAACATTTTTGCAGGCATCGGCTCAGATGGGCCTTCCATGAAGACTGGAGGGAAGAGTAAATGATTGGGCCTGGAGAGAAGGCTGACGCATTGTACTCTCTTCAGCATCTCATTTTCTGTCCTCCCTGTGCTCTCCTCGGCCCTCACCTGATTGTAGTTGTCTTGGATGATTCTGATTGCATTGGTGGCTTCCTGACTGCAGTTACACTGACTATGAACCTGCGGGACACAAGGCAGCACTCATTAGAAGACTGTTACATGCCCTCCTCCCAGGACAGCCCTCCTCCCTGCATAGCAACTCCTCCCTACACGCCCCTCCTCCCTACACACCCCTCCTCCTACATGCCCCTCCTCCCTAGATGTTCCTCCTGCCTACATACCCCTCCCTCTACATGCCCATCCTCCCTAGATATTCCTCCTCCCCATGTGCCCCTCTTCCCTATACGCCCCTCCTCCCTACGTGCCCCTCCCCTACGTGCTCCTCCTCCCTAGTCAAGTTTAAAGCTTAGAAGGCGTGGAGAAAGTCTGCATTTGACCTTGGCTTCTGCTCCTCAGAAGAGCAAGCACCAGGTCTACCTTGTCACAGTGCTGAGTGCAACACCCTACAGGGTTAACTATTTGAGTAACTATATCCATGTGATTGCCCAGCTGTAAGTTTTAAAGCAGGACAGGGACTGCTACCCTTTCTAACCGTTAATGGGATCTGAGACAGAGAGGGAAGCCATCACCTGCCACAGAGGAGCCACACCACACAGGAACTCATCCACAGCCATTAGGACGGAGCCCACAGTTTCTCTTGGCCTGAGTTTTGGTTGGTGATTTTTACTTTTGTCTCTGTTTGATTTTTAGCAAGTGACAGTGAACTTACAGGTGACCCTTGGAGATAGGCCTTTCTGTACGACTTCCCAGAAATGCCTTAGTATGGAAATTTCAAAGGATCAGAAACAGAAAGTCCAGAGGTGTGCTTATGGTCAGAATGAAACCCTTGGCGTGTCCCTCTTAGAGGCCACTCTACACTTAGGAGATACTCTGGCATCAGCTGGCCACTCCATGAGGCAACATATCTGACAAGGTATCAGTAGGCAAAACCATTGCAAAGCCTCGAAGGACTCAGAAGTGAATAACAGGGCAAGAAATAACCCAACAGCACCAGTGCTGGGCTCATTCTGGACAGAATGGAAGCAGCTGCTTGGGATTCAGGCGCACTGACTCGCAGGTGCACTGACTCGCAGGTGCACTGACTCGCAGGTGCACTGACTCTCGGACACACTGACTCACACATTGCTCCAGTGTTCTCTGCATTTGGAGGAACGAGTTGGAGAGCTTGCTGATTTTCTCCATGTCCTCGTTGCTTGTCTCCAGATGGTCCTTGAACACCGTGTCTCTGTAGAAGGTCAGGAGGTGGCTGGTCACGCAGCACACATCTACAGGCTACAGACACAGATTAGAGCGTGTCCTGGAGGCCCTCTGCTCGCAACACTTTGGTGAAAAAGTACAAGAAGTTACAGAACTGAACATTCTTTTCTAGAATTCAGGGTTTTCTTCCATGCTTTCCACAGTCAAGCCACCTACAGCCAGGAGATGTATTCACAAAGATTAGGGCTTGGAATGCCATCACAGACAAGGATTCTCACCACAACCTCCCTGGGAAAATGTAAGGTATCAGCTCCCTCCAAGAACCAGGTGCCTCCTTTTTGAGAGGGGTCGCATCCCACAAGCCAAGGCTGTTTGCTCTGTAATCTCCCAGCTCGCAACATCCTTGGCTCCTGGACATCAGGGATCTTACCAGGCATGACCAATATATTCATCCTGACCACTAAGCCCTGAACCCCACACACTACTGGACTCTCTCGCAATTTGTCCCCTTACACTGGGCCAGGGCGAGGAGCTGAAATTTGTGAGACTGGCGACCGGCAGCCACGTCTGGGGAGCTCAGTGGACTGCAATGGAAAGCAGATGCCTCAAAGACAAAGCACAGCCCTGAGAAGCAGTGGATAGCTGCCTTCTAGCAGTTTGCGCTCCGCAGGCCTGAGGAAGTGCTGCACAAGGTTCACTCCCCAGCCTCTAGCCCCAGGGCAGCTTTACCTAGACAGTGGCAGACTAATTGGAATCAGGACCTTCTGTTCCCCTGCCCTCAGTGGATCTCTTAGCCAGAGAAAAGGGTTACACACTGCTGTGTTATTAAAGACTGTGGCATTAGAAAAAAATCAATCTGAGAGAGAGAGAGAGAGAGAGAGAGAGAGAGAGAGAGAGGAAAAAGAATGAGGAGGAAGAGGAGGAGGTGGAGGAGGAGGAGGAGGAGGGAGGGCAGGCAGAAGGTTGGTTCAGCAGTTGACAAACTTTTGACTAAGTCTGTGAACCTGAGTTTCACCCTCAAACCCCATGTGAAGAAAGGAAAGAACTAAAGCCCAAAAGTTTTTTTCCTCTCTCTGTCTCTGTCTCTGTCTCTGTCTCTCTCTCTCTCTGTCTCTCTCTCTCTCACACACACACACACTGAATCACTGAATAATTTTAAAAGAGAAAAGAAATGGGATGAATGAAGGAGAAAAGAAACGACAGGAATATATAATAAAGACCTAATTCACCAGCTCCCTTCCTTACTCCACATCAGCTGTATCTCCAGCTCGGGAGGAGAACGAGTCTGGAAACAGAGGCATAGACTGGAATCGGGTGTTCTACTCCTGGCCTTGCCATTAGCTCATCGTTCCCTCACCTTTTGAAGTCTCAGTTCCTCATAAATGCATACTTTTAGTTTGTCATCTAAGAACTCAGCAACAAGTAAAATGTAGGTCATTTTTAGGATAAATGCAGAGGTCAAAACATTTTTGTTGTTGTTGTTGTTGTTCAATTTGCTCTGCTTTTTGAGACAGGGTCTTGATAACCATAAACTGGAAATTGTCAGGGGGGAAAAAAAGCCTAAAATATGATTAAGATTCTCCAAGGCTAACTGACTAGATAGAACCTCTGTGGTTGTGGGGAGTTGTAACATTGTGTATAGAGAGTCAAATTATCTCGTGTTGTCTTTGACCCCCCCTTGACAGGCATGCATCTCTGTGTGTGACCTAGCAACTGTGACTACCAGGAGACACTTTCTGGAATACACTAATAGACCACTCGTGTCCCTAGAGCTAAGAATGTCATCAGATAGCATCTGAGGCCTGTAGCAGATTCTCCACAATTTGCTGTAACCTGCCTACCTTATGCTCCCAGCACTACCTTTTAAATGCCTCAATTATGCTTGCCTTTTGTCCTATTGCTATACAAACTTCATGATGCTGCACTGCTTTGAAACACTCCATTTGGCATAATCTAGATTCCAGGGTGTAGTTGTTCCTGTTTGGCTATGGAATAAACTATCTCTTATTCCCTTTGAACTGAAAGTTGGGTTTGTGCATCAACGTAGCCCTGGCTGGCCTGGAACTCACAAACTTGAACAGACTGGTTTCAAACTTGTAACGATCCTCCTGCCTCTGCCTCCCGAGTGCTGGGAGCATAAGCTTGCCCTCCCCCCCCCCCACCCACACACACTCTAAAAGCACCTCACGGGTTCATTTTGTAAAACAAAGACTCAGCAGCAAACTACCAGCTGGTAACATCCTTTCTGGGCAGGGAGCTGGAAGCCCTACTGGCCTCCCCATCCAGCTGCCAATTGTAGAGCACACTCCCAGACTCTCTATAATAGTGATACAACTTTCATCCCAGAAGTCTCTTCGGCTGCTCTGTTGTCTCTGTCAGAAAGAAAGCCAAGGCTCTGCCTGGTTCCAAAGGTAGCTGCCCCCCCCAGCTCCCTACCCTACTCAGCACATTCTTTGCCTCCTACACCTGCTTGCTCTTGTCCCTGTCACACAGCCCTGCCTTCAGTGGCATCACACCCGTTTCCGCCCTGTATCTTAGACCTTTTATCTTCTTATCTACAGCCTCCTCCGCTTTTAAATGACTCCGGTTTTTGTTTTTGTTTATCTTCATTTCTCCCCATGGAATCTTCCAAAAACAATCTCCAAGTCACTGAATTCCTGTCCCATTGGAGTACCCGGTACTTCTGTCACCCTCTGGGAAAGTGTCACTCCTTTGGTCACGCCCATGATTTCAAAGTCCCTGGAATACTGTCCCGCCCAGACTTCTCAGCCGACAAAGGCGCCTGGAGCATTAAGAGCACCCTGGGTAGGGACTTATTTCCTTGCACTAAGTCTTTAAAAAGCAGACACAAACCAACTGGTACCTTAATGCTGTCCAGATTCTTCAGTGAGGACAGGATGGTGATATTTTTGAAGGTGTCTTTCGTTTGCTGTAACAAACAGGACAGGCATCAATGAGAACTCTCCACTCTCTCAGGATACCACACAAGTAACAGGAAGGCACATGCCTTTCAGGCTACGACGTGAGGTAAGGCAGACCCCATTCCTTCAGACCCGTGCTCACCAGGTCTTTTTTGATGTCACAGATACTGAGTCCTATAAGGTCCATGTCCACGGAACTCAGACATCTCCTGAGGCTGCGGGTGTGCACGGAGCAGAGGAGGAGCGCCATGCCCAGGAGCCAGCGGGAAATGCACGGGGTCTTCATGTCCTACAGCAAGGACTGCGGTTCTCCGGTTCTCCGTCTGCCTAGACTGCAGAGCAGAGACAATCAAAACCGCGTGTGTGCTCTTCCGGGGGACCTCATGGCAGAGGCCTTGGCCTTGGGGAGCCTCAAAGGCTCACATCTCCTCTTGTGGTTTTACTTGAAGTCATTGACTCTGATCCCCCACCCTATGCCCAACAGGCCCTCAACGCAGCCTGTATCATGCTATGCTCTGACTCTGCCCTTCATCAACGGGGGTGAAAAGTCTTGTTTCTAATAAACTCAATAAAAGGAACAGATTGAGCAACAGATCTAAAAAAAAAAAAAAAAACCTATTGGCTTTTTGGTGTTTGCCCCCAAAGGAAGGAACCCATAGTGCTTATCTGCCTAAAATCGTTTTTGGAGCTAAGCATGCACAGAGACATATCACACATCACTGTGCAGCCTAGGATCTGTCTTTTGGCACAAAGGTGCCAAAGCAACACAAAGAGATAAACCTTACAACAGCATGCAATATGCCCCCTGCCCTCTGCCCTCTGCCCTCTGCCCTCTGCCCTCTGCCCTCTACACAGTGTGAGTCTTACCACTGAGGCATTCATTTCCCTCTGTGAGTGCAGAGGCCAGTGAGGAGAGGAGGGCCCCAAACACAGCTAGGCAGCTGGGGAGCCACAGTGCACCTGCTTCTAGACTCTCACTATGGTGCTAGAGGGCTGTAATTGTGAACGGGCTCTTGAATGGGAGCCACACTGCCCCACTCCCCACCACCACAGACCACATCGTCCTGGGAATCCTGAGCCCCTTGTCCAAAAAGCCAAGAAAGAGTAAGCCGAGCCTTTTCTTAATGGAAATCCTTCCTGGGACACCAGCAGGTAGATACTGAAACCTCCCAAATGACAGACAGTTCTCCCTACAGAACTTGATTTTCTAACTCTCTGACCGAACAAGGAAACAGACCCCATAGGCAAGGGAAATTGGTAGGAAGCATCCCATGCCCCCTAACCCGACTCTGCTCCTTCTAAAACAGAGTCCAGACATCTTGGCCAATTCAGGTAACAGCGGAGGCAACCCTTGTCCTACACGGTAGGCGTGTTGAGCTGGGCAATGTATGAAACATTTTGCATACTTGCCATGTTTCATGTGACACCCACCCCTCAGAAGGTTTGTTTCTATCCACATTTTACCAAGGAGGGAACTAAGAATTAGGACAATGAAATAGGTCACCCGAGTTGGCTGAGTAGCTGACCCCTGTCTTCACTCACTCCTTAGAGCGAAGCCTTCCTCTTACAAACCAGTTCTGCATATTCATCTCTGCTGGAGATCACAACTTCACACTAGACAAAAACCCATTTCTGATTAGCTCCCACTGAACCCGGAATGTGCTTTGTATTTAAGAAGACAGTAATTCTGCAAACAGTTAAGTTCCTAGAATGAGAAGGCTGTGGTAAAGATATTTAATTCCTTCATACTCTATTTTCTATCCTTTCCTCATTTCCTTTTGTTAAAAAGAAGGTACCAGAAAATTCACACTCTCTCTCTCTCTCACACACACACACATACACACACACACACATGCACTCACTCACACATGCATGCATGCACAAGTACACACACACAAAAAAAAAAAAAAAAACCAAAGTGCCCTGGACAACACAGGTCATACACAGCAGTCACCCGTGAAGTATTAAGGACCCGAGTGAGGCTCCTGACAGCCCATGCCTGCCTCACCTCTCCCGGCGCCTCCTGCCGCAGGGGACTGGTCTCTCTGTGTCCTTTGCCATTTGGAAAGGGTTGATCACTTTTATACTGTGGCTAGGAGGAAATGCTGACCAGGGTTACTGGGTGGGTCCACCTTCAGGAGATTCCGCCCTCCCCATCCTCACTTCTTTAGTATTCCATTTCCTTAATTGTTTTCTTTTCTTTCTTTTTCTTTGTGATACAGCTGATTAATCACCATTAAGAAATGGCCTGTTTTTCTGAATTTTGACACACAGCTTCTGGGAAGGAAAAAAAAAAAAACTCCCTGTGACCACGTAAATGAGAATTACTTTTAATTTTGTGTTCATGGAGAAAAATCCAAGTTGGGTCACTTTCCTAGGAGCTGCAGCACACCAGTCAGGAAAGCGCGGATGGCCTGGCTTTGTCGGCAGCCAGCTCCATGAGACTCTGCAGGTCCTCTGGCTCTGATGTCACACGCAAGTTCCAAGGACTCACCACACGCCAAGCTTTTACATGCATTAAATTACTTCATTTAACTTCACGGGAATCCAATCTTTCTTCTCCTGTAGGCAAGGGTTTGTTTGTTTGTTTGTTTAGCATGGCATCTCTTTCCCCTCGATCTCGTCCCTCCGAAGGCCCTGTGGTTCTCGAGTGATGCGAGGAGAAATGACAGTGGCAGAGCTGGGAACAGAACTTAGGACCCTTACACTGGGGCCAGAAGGCCCTTTATCCAGGCTACTTTCTTATTTATTAGAATTCTCCATCATGAAGTTTTCCAGGGTTCAGGATTGTAAGTAACAGAAAGACAGGGTATAATCGACTCCTCCCCAGGAGGGTCATTTTCCCTGCGGATGGCCCCACTCCCATGCCCATATGGGCAACACTAATTGGACTCAGAAGGTTATTAGTAATTTAGAAAGTGGCGGGGGGGATGGAGCTGGGAGAAAGATGGGGTGGAGGCACTGCGGTGAGTTGGAGGGAAATAGGGGAGTTGGAGGGAGGTACTGGTGGGTGGATATAATCAAAATGCAGTATATGAAAGAAGGAAATTTTCAAGGAATAGATAAAAACATAATTTTCCAAACTAATTTCCTGGCTGGGCAGTTGTGGCGCACGCCTTTAATCCCAGCATTGGGAGGCAAAGGCAGGTGAATCTCTTTGAGTTCAAGGCCAGCCTGGTCTACATATTGAATTCTAGGATAACCAAGGCTACAGAGAGAAACCCTGTCTTGAGAAACTAAAAAGCAAGGCGGAAAATAAAGAAAAAAAGAAAAAACTAGTTTCCTCCCCGCAAGAGCCTACTCCTGCTACCAAGTTAAAGAGACAGAGGCGCAGATGGGGCACTGGAAGACAAGAAGGAGAATCAGAGGAACAGTCTCTGGTGGGGTTCAAGAGAAATGAACCCCAGAATCTGGGAGACTCTTTCCAAAGTCTTAAATTTCATTAAACAATGCATGCTGAGAGAACCTGTAGGCTATTGTGGCTCACAGCAGTGTAGACAGAATCACACCAGGCCTTCCCTGCTCACA